CAACAAGCGAGGATTCAGACAGGGTTCACTACCGTTCACTAACGTTCCAGAGAGAGAGAGAGAGAGAGATTGTTGATAAGTTGGAGATATACGAAAAATTATTTTCTGAAAACAATTCTTTGATTTCCATCCTTCATTAAATTGTAAATAAGTATATCATAAAACGTCTGCATTTTCTGCTTACTGATATGGGAGGAAAAAAATTCAAAATGTCCCTATTGTTTTGCACTTCTTTTTTAACTAGAGTTTCAATTTCAAGTACATAGACGTTCGGTTATCGTGCCACGTCTGCGAGAAAGACAATTTGAAAGCAAGTGAACATTTGTCAAACGAAAGAATAACAACAAACGGTAAACTGAAAACATCGCAGTCTCGAGTGATAAACAATATTCACGCATTTACAATGAACCACTAGTGCCACTTTGTGACCGTGCAATATTTGTTTTCAAATACATTGTATTTCGAATAATTTAAACAGAATTAACTTTAATTAAATATGAAATTAATCTAACCTAGCTAAATCCGATAGGTAAGGACGTCAGAATTAATATATATGTGATTAAAAACGTAACTAAATCATTTTTACAAATATATATATATAAATGAATTGAAAAACTAGGATGATTCATAACAAATATTTTGAACATAAGTTTGACTTAGCTAAGACCTACCTTAGTCCGTTTTATGTTACGGTTTAAGACATACTTAAGTAGTACTTAGGCAGGTCTTAAGATTGCACCTAAAACATACTTATGACCCTACTTAAGTCAAAAACTTAGCAAGCTTTATGTTACGACCCCCAGATCCCTATTTATATAGAAGTGAACCTTTTGTATAGAATTACATAGAAAACAATACAAAGTTGTATATCTATGCACCAAAGAAAAATTACGATTTATTTATATTTTAGGGATTTATTATTTATTTCATAACTACAAATCTTTAACTGGATGCAAGAAGCTACCACATCATGGACTCAATATTAATATACAAATTTTTGAAGCAGTACATGCATATATAGCAGCAACAAAACGTTTTACTTGAACACTGTCATGTAAATGTATATATAACTTTTGTCAATTTTTCCAAACCGGTACTTCATTGTATTTTTTTTCCCGTTTTTTTCCTCGTATTTTTTAAATGTTTGTTTAATTAATGTTATGCAGTGTATTTACCTTGACCTTGCTGTAGGGAGAGGGCTAAAATAGGCTATGCCTGCTGCCTAATCCCATTCACTTCATGTGAATAAAATTATGTATAAATAAAAAAAAAGCTACCACATAAGGTTTTCTATTCTTGGTAACCATAGCAACAGTATTCTTATTTCATCAACCTTCATCAAAATATGATTTTCAACTTAAGTTCTACCAGATTAGTACAATTTCAGGTGAGTATACTCAGTATGTTACTTGATTAAGAAGAAGAAGTAGAATGAAATTGACAGTGCGACATTTTATTGAACTATGAACAGGACATAATCCGGACTTTTTACTACCATTTCTAATGGCAATGTCCAAAAAAAAAAAAAAAAAAAAAAAAAAAAAAAAAAATCATAGTACTTGGTGGGATTTTTAGCATACAGTATCACATACTCTCATGCTGAACTAGCGAACGTATCTATTTTTGAAAATATCAAGTGCTGATTATCAATATCAGAAGCCCGTGGGTATTTTTAGCCCTATAACAGCTATCAAACCTCTCTCCCATGGAAGAGAATGTATAAGCGTATCCATTGCTCGGCTACGTTAAGAAAGGAAATGGGAAATGCGATCTTTGATGTACATTTAGCTTAACAATTCTTCTTTTATACCACTCACGTGAAACACAGCTGATGCATGCCATGTAACTGGTACAGAGTATGGCCCAAACCTATTCATTATGGATATGGGAGAAATAAAAAATAATGACCACCAAATTGAAAGGTTTTGAAAAAATTCAACTAGCCATAACACATTTTTCACTTATCATATTGTACATGCATTCTAGTTAAAATTCCTGAAAATGCAATGGAAAAGACAATTAGATTTAAAAAAAAAAGTTTCAGAATTTTTATAAGTTAAACTTTATTTGAAAAAAGAAAATATCACTACGTCCTAATAAACTTTCTAAAATACATAATCAAAATAATCAAAAGAAATTATATTTTTTTTAATGCTTCAGAATGGTATCAGGGTTATAAATGATTAGATCTAAACCTTGATTGAGTTTTTTCTCTTGTATTTGTGGGAAAAAATTGGCTTTTTGATTGTAATTTTACACTATTTTTTAAATTCTGGTTGAAAAGTTTTAATGTGAGAAAGAAATACGAAACAATAAATTTTCATCAAAATCACATAACATAATCAACATAAAGTGGTATCGAAATTGTGCAATATTTTTTTTTTATAATTAAAACACATAAAAGTATTTAAACTTGATTTAATATCTTGAATTATTCCCTATTTATGTCAAAAAACTAGCTAAATACATATATTTAGAAGATAAAATATTTTATAGTATATTTTCCATCACAAAACAAACACTATATTTATTCATGTTTGATCAGCAATAATTCTAACATTTGTAGAGCATGGGAGTCTTCAAAGTAGAATTGTGAAGCGAAAATTACAGTAGAACTTGTTCTGTTGTTTCAGTAAAATTGAGGTAGAATTACTTGAATTTTATAACAATTTATTTATGTGTTAATTTTTTACATTAAAAAATCAAAGAAAAGATATAAACTCATCTGAATTGATAAAATTGAAAAAGAGATTATAATAATATAACTGTCAATAATTTAGTACTAAATTATTCGAATAGATCATTATTAATTAAAGAATTTTCATGGCATGGGTAGAAGTCTTTTCATCATATAACTCTAATCTTTAAAAATGTGTTGCAATCCTGACCATAGAAATATAGATCTGAAACACAGACAGACCGTGTAATTGATAAGTCTATTTGATAAAAAAAAAATTTTGTGTCTTTATTTTCCAAAATAAAAACAGAGAATCATATATATATATATATATATATATATATATATATATATATATAGATATATATATATATATATATATATATATATATATATATATATATATATATATATATATATATATATATATATATATATATATATATATATATACCGATAAAAGTTTCTTCATGCTGTGGAGCAGCAAAACATCAAAAGTTGCACTCCTGACATTATTGAGTATGCACAGATACTTGATTTTCATTAATGCTGCTTGTGATTTATATAACATTTTTAAGTTTTGAATTGTATATCAATTATTGTTTTGCACTGTGAAACTTCTTTTTTTTTTTTTGACTTAGTTGTCTTTCAGATTTTTAAAATTGATGTTTTTTGGCAACATGCACTACATTTTTTTCTGTTGCACTCCTGACACATGTGACATGGTATAACATTTTTTTTCAGCATCAGCCATGACCACAACTTGATTAAACAGAAGTTACTATAGCCCACATTTAAAGCTCAGTACTTTGAATATTATCAGGAAAGTCTTTATTTCCACCATAAACCATTATCATTTATTTCTCAGATCTTCAAAACTATTGAATTTTCAAAATGTCACAAAAAAGTGTTGCACTCATGACATTTTTAGCAACCCCCCCCCTCCCCCTCCAAAAAAACAAACAATTAAACAAACAAAAAAAACCACAGGTTTTTCATTTCATACATGTACATGTATTTGCTTGTCAAATAAATTCCAGTCTGGCATTTGTAAGAGTTGGTGTGGAAGACCCCCCTCCCTCCGCCTGGATCGACGCCTGAAACCTGAATTAACTATTTTTTTTATCGAAATAAAAAATTTTCACCGAATTTATGAATCAACCAATCGGAAACAATCGAGTGTTCAAGCCCTCCGATGAGTTCCGATTTGATTAATTTTAGCAACATGTAAACATCATTAGGAACTTCTCGGGTATTTTCCACGCAAAAGTCCGGGAAGAACATTGCACAACTATTGGAAATTGTTGTAGATTATAAATTTACGATAAATATAGGCGTCTGCTAGTAGTTGAATTGCTGTCAGTTAATTCACCAAAGGTAAGTTTTAGTACTGTAACTACTATATGATACATTTGTATGTTATTGTTAAGTAATCAGGTAAAATCACTAGAGAGTGTGCGGAATCGTCCATGCTCATATAGTCATTAAGGATACATGTACTTACAGGTCTTAATATAGATATGTATACTTAATTATTTAGAAAGTAACATATCAATAAGTTTTCACATTTATACAACCAAGACCCAAGTACCTGCGATAAATTCTGTACTTTGGGAATGTTTTACTCAACCCCAATGAATGATACAATGTAGTAGTGATAAACAATGATAAATTGGCCAAGACAACACAAAACTACTCAAATACATTTCTCTTTAGCTGCAGAACTGTAGCTCTCTGCTTGGGAAAATTCGGACAGACAAAGCAGAGAGCTACAGATCCAAGCGTTGTGAAAACCTTAGATTTACGCCGCCGCCTTTTTGTCGCTCGCTTCGGGTATTATTTCTTGTATTTAATGCTTTCCCCCACTTTAAAAATAGTATCCTATAGTTAATCATATATTTTACTCCTATTCCTGAAACTTAATTTACCTTTCAACGGTTCCAGACTTTAGAATAAATGCATTCCGACGTCGACGTTGGTGTCATCCTGAAATAACACGCTCGAGTTTTCAATTTTTGGTTTTATTTATCTCATTTCTTTTTTACATACATATTATATTCTTTGTAGACAAAATACATGATATTTGAACCTCCTGAATATTTTATTTACATTTTCTCGGGAAGTATATGTTTTTTGAAAGACTTATTTTTCTCTGCTTTGTCTGTCCGAATTTTCTCAAGCAGAGAGCTACAGTTCTGCAGCTATCTTTTATAATGACATCATAGGAACTCCAATTATATATTTTTTGATTGTATAACTACTGTGAATTTGTTTTTAGAAGTATCAAATTTGGGAAAAGAGTTGGCCATCTACCATTTCAACCATGGTACAGAAAAAAGAACGATGTGGGCTAAGAACAGGACATACCATCAGAAAACATTTCTTGTCACAAATCACACATGATGGATACATTGACTACAAATTCATAAATACTCCAAGCCATTTTGAACCAGAAGAATTTAAGAAGTTATTCAACAGGAAAGATGTTGTTCTTACTGATGGTCGGGATTCATTTTCACCACTTACAGAAGGTACTGATGGGGAATTCAATGATATACATATAAATATCAAGCACAGAGAGGGGGAGTATGTGACGTACTCGTTAGATAAGCAGAAAAGGTGGACCCTCCCATCACTGGTCAAAAATAATATAGATTCCTTGGCTGAGGAAGACTTTAGAGTTGTGGTATCAGAAAGAAAAACTTTCACAGCGATATGTACACCTAAAGGACCTTACTATGGTTTGGATACAAAGTATAGGACATGGAATGATTGTGTACAGTATATAGATAGTAAAACTCCACTGCCCATAGCCACTCCTAACAAATCAGCATCTTTCTTTTGTGACCTGAGAAGGAAATGTCTAGGGGGAGGACGTGTTGAGCAAAAAACCCAATCAAGGAAGAGAAAAAGACATAATATGCATTCCAGAGGAGTACAGAGGAAATCTGAACTCCAACAGAAGACAGAAAAAGTTAACAATGAGCAAGAATATAACAGATATCAGTAAGTCTGTGTTACAGGTTTATAGATTAGTACTGATAGTTATACTTGAGTACATTTATTTATTACTAATAGTATACTCTCTATCAACATGATCAATAGCATATTATACATTTATTGCATGATCGTGAGAGAAATATGAAGATTTCTTCAGCCAAGAAAAATCATATTATATTATACAGAAACAAGCAAACACTTTTTAAAACAAACATATATAAACGTTCACATTTGGCACCGCTCTTAAATTCACTCTCAATTTTAATGCAATATTACTGAAAGAATTTAAAGAAGTTGTGACGTGAACCAGGTTACTGTGATGTCTACTACTCTCGGGAGTTTTCATTCAACAAACGATAACTATTGTGGGAAAATGCGCTAGGTCTCCGAAGAGGTTGAATATGATGAAAAGCATGTCGACGACAGCGAAATATGAAGTTTTATGGCCCTGTCACGTGATAATCTAGAACCAATCAGATAACGCCCTGTATAGAATAATTATAATGAGGTACAATATTAGCTAGGGAGGTTTCAGGTAATTGTGATATTAAGCATCCATTTGGCACATCAAATCTACAACATGTAGGTGTTTATAGCACATATCTTATTTCAAGTTTTAGCCTTTACAGCTTTAAAGATTATTATTTTGCTGCGAGACACTTTCACATATTATGTTTTTTACACAGACTGCTGGATGGAGCTGACAGTAAGGATATGGCAGAATTTCGGTATGAAATCTGTCTTCCACAGGGAATGAAGTCCAGATATAATTGTACTAAAGCTGAGCTTTACGATAGAGGTAATTACACAAGTAACTGATGTAACTATGTGAAAGAAAGTGTGTGCTACATATACGGTTACCAAAGGCTTTGACTTTAGAATGATCAAATTTTATTGATGAAAACAGTTTTAAAATTTTCCTCATTCTCTCACAATCTCTTTTAAATTTTTTTCATTGTCTACACTGTCAGATAGTTTTATTTGTATACATAGATTTATGATAGTTAGCAACTTTGAAGTGAATGGTAAATTTGTTACATTTTCAATTTCGGTGGTAATTGATAGCTGTCATGTATGTTTTTTTATTGTTTGCATTACAGTTGTTAAGATGTTATACATGTTTAAATGTCTATATTATTTATTTTGTTTAAATTGAAGCTGTTGACAAGTTACCTCATTATTCAAGACAAGTAGAGAAAAAATCATTATCAAAGCTAAAAGGAATGGTTAATGGATTTCGTTCTGTCTGGAAGAAACTGCAACTTAAGGAGAGACTTGAAGAAAATGATGATTTTATAGGATATAGCAGTACTAGTCATAAGGGATCCCTGAGTGAATGCAGGACATGTGAGGAAGAAATCGACTACTCTGATGAAGTTGTGTATGCATACGATGCTTATGATGAAGATGCTTGTTGTGTGCCAAAGAAAAACAATATAGAGGTAGATATTTTTGATTGTTTGAAGAAAGAAAGACGAAAGCAGAAAACTGGAAACCAACAGAAGAGAAGAAAAAGGACATTTTCAGATGAGGACTTGGATGAGAAGAGCCATATTGTGTACCTGAATGAGGATAAAATAGAAGAAAAAGATGAAATTAGCTCAGCTGCTAATCCCCTAGAAGATTCCAGTGACGTTCTACAGGAAATCTTACCTCACAATGTCGAGTGCTTCTTCAGGAGGACAGAAATGGAGGACTTTTTGAGAAAAACGCCAAGTTTCTACTCAACAAGTTCACATCCCACTATATTTGTCATTCCACTTCAGATATCTTTGAGGGAAGATGAGAACAAAAGTGTCAGTTTTGATGGAGAGGATCCAGCACTTGTTTTGCAAGAAAAAATTAGTTCTGCTGTTTCAGCCTCAGAAGAGGGGATTGCTGAGTGCAGGTAAATATGTTACAAAATAAAGTTTATATTAAACTTAAAATAAAACTGTTTATGCTAAAGGAAATAATGTATACAATGCCTCTTAATATTTAAAGAAAATAAAATCTGAGATAGTATTTTTTTTCTTATTTTTATAAGCTATTGTGTCTGGTACATATATACATGTACAATCATGTTTTAACTTATTTATTTAGGTTACGAATTGTTGGAAGTGAAGAACTATATTCCACTGAAAAGGTGAATAGAGATCTCAATGATTTCCTGACATCACAGGAGGAGTTTCTTATTCTTTCACTCGGAGAAATCATCCACTTTGCCAAGGACATTGTCCAACAGAACACCTCTCACACGTAGGTTTATCATATCGTCACAGTATCTTAACTTCTACAAGTTTGCGTGTAAAATTGTATTGACTAATAGGCAAAAGCAAATATTGTAATAGTTTTATTATGTGGATAAGCTGAGTTTGGAAAAGTATTGTATGAGTTATGGCTCTTTCATTGGAGTTGTACCAATAATATGTCATTTAACAAAACTCGCACTTTGAAATGAGTGATTTTCTACATGTATGTCTCATAACGTTACATAGATATCAAAGCCACTTTACATACCCTATCACAAAATCACAAAAATAATACCCTGTCTGGTTATATGCTTTTAAAAAAAGTAAAGGGCAGGGGTGAGTGTTAAGAAAGTTTTAATCCATGAGAAATCTTATTTTTAGGTCACTAAAAAAATTAGGTCAACATGAACCCTGTGCTCTGGAGCCCGTGTTTGACTGGTTGCCAAGGGTGACATACAATGTAGCAACAATTAAACAAGCTTCATTGCAGAACTGTGACCTACTAGGAGAGGTAGTTTTGACAAGAGTACTAAACAAACTCTTTATTGAATAAAATGTTGTAAGATTTTACTTTTTTCAAAAACTGGAGAGCACAATGTAATCTGATTTGTACTTAATATACAATTGTCAAGTGAAAAATTTATCTAGTGAATAAATGCCTTACTATTTCCTCTTGCATATGAAGATGCACAAATTCAAGTGTCTTTCAGTAATCTTTTATTTCAACACTTCATTACATGTACATGTATCTTAAAATCAACAAAACTAAGAGAATACACCAATCATGTCGTTTAGATATATTTTTGCAAAGCCTTCTTGCTTTTGAAGCATACTTTTTTTTCAAACAGGTTCAAAAGACTTTGCCACCACATCCTAACTCTCTCAGTGGAATTGCTGACTCTGAGTGTGGTGTGTGTTTTGTGCCACTTTGTGACACAAAAATGAATTCATGTGGATCAAACCCCATAGACGGTGTACTCATTCTACCTTGTCAACACTACTTCTGCAGAACATGTCTTCTCCAGTATGTCTTGGAAAAAGTCAGAACTGGTGCTCGGAGCCTGTCATGTTTGGTAAGTTGCATGTCTAGTCTGGATGTTGTTATTCTGAAATCTTGTGAATTACAGTTAAAATTTTTAGTCCATTTCAGTTAAAATATTGTATTATCTGGAATATTGTATAATTCAGCAAATTCCTATGGAACCAGTGATGTTCAGATTGGACAAGTTTTACCTCATATGCATGTTACAATATGGTGAAAGGAGATTAAAAAAGCAAAACAAATCGGTCAATAAAAAATTGATACATTCTTTTAGGAATACCAGTGTGAGTCAACATTGGACCCTATCTTTATTATGTCCCTGGTGCCTTCACACATATTTGGTCAGTGGTCAAGTCGACAGCAGGAACAGGCTGTAATGTCTACTGGACTCTGGAAGTGGTGTCCAAACAAAATATGCAATCTCATTGTATCACTTAGTAAGAAAGGTAGGATATTGACATTTATGATCATGTGATTATCCTCATAGATTACTGACATCAATGATCATGTGATTATCCTCATAGATTACTGACATCAATGATCATGTGATTATCCTCATAGATTACTGACATCAATGATCATGTGATTATCCTCATAGATTACTGACATCAATGATCATGTGATTATCCTCATAGATTACTGACATCAATGATCATGTGATTATCCTCATAGATTACTGACATCAATGATCATGTGATTATCCTCATAGATTACTGACATCAATGATCATGTGATTATCCTCATAGATATCAATTACAGAATTATGGTTTTCTTTTCATGTATATCCCAGATAATTTTACTTTTGTGATGAATTTATTTTTGTTTGTCAACAGTACAATAAAGGGTTTAATCAGAGATCAGTTTATATCATATAACAATATCGTACAATTTCGAGGGGGGCTTAGATCTTGGTAATAGTTTTAGATACATGTTTTAGATACATGTACACATGCATAACTCAAATTGTATGCACACATACATGTATGTGATTTATGAATTAATAGTGCAATGCAATGAGTACTCATTCAATAATTAAGAAAACTCTCTTTTCACCTACATGTTATTCTAGCAAATTCTTTCAAGAGTAATAAACATTTCTTGAATGGATTCGCAAATCACTTATATTGAATTTTCTGCTATTCATTCTAGATCAAAGAGTAAAGGAAAGGGGAATACTTGTAAAAGACCACATGAAGATGAAGGGTGTGACTTGTTTGTGCCATACAGAGTTCTGCATGGAATGTGAGGAACTGCCTCATTGGCCAGCTTCATGTCAACAGATTGGGGAATATGTCAAAGCTCTAAATATTCAAAAAGGTATGGAGGATATCTTGAAAATAAAATTTAAAAAAAATGTAGGCATATTTCAAATGTCTAGATTTTTAAAGTCAAAAGGTATCTAATATCTGTTGAGCATTAAGCTGTACGTTTGTCCATTTATCGTGTGTAGCAAAGCACATTTCTTTAACTGTCTGCTGTTAAAAATAGCCCTTTCAAAGATATATGTTTACATGGTACACATTATCAACAATTCAGTTACAGTTTAACTTAATTGAACAGAATATGTCTTTAACTATTTTGTCTATCAAGGGATGAATACTGTTTTATAGACAAAACATATTACAGATCTTCTAAATGAGGAAGACTATGTAAGGACTTTCAGAGTAAATGTAAAGCCATGCCCTAGCTGTAAGGAGAAAGTGGACAAAAATGGCGGATGTAATGCAATGACCTGTAGATGTGGACATCACTTCTGTTGGCTTTGTCTTAAAGGCAATCCTTATGGTGTACACACGTGTAAAGAAGTTCCTTTACAGGTTAGTCTTATTCAGGTTAACTACAGGGCACTTTTCATCCTTTGTAATTTTTGCCATACTTGTGGAAGGATTTCACCCCATTTTAAATTCACCCTGATAAATAATAAGTTGTAGTAAAAGACAGATACCAAAATATGGATTTTTTCTGTATATCACAATTTTTACGAAAATAACAGCCCTAGCTGTCTTTGTGAATTCACCATTTTGAATTCACCAACTGAGGACAAGGGCAGATTAAGGGTTGAAAATAAAAACTGGGAAAAAAATTTCTTGTATACAGTATATTGTAGTCTTACAGTATGCAACATTTTTCTTTTTGTATTCCTCTCTCTGAAACATGTATTAGTATTATGAGATTTAAAATGTTTATGATATATGCATGTTTATGTTCTTTTGACAAAACAATATGATATCTTTTGACAAAACAATATGACATCTTTAAGCATTAGTGATATCAAATGAAAACATTAAACAGCAGTAAAAGCTGATCTGGAGACCACATATTCTGTCCTGTTTTAATTAATTTTGTTTGGTGTTTCAGGAAGTAGAACTAGTCAACAGTAAGGTTGTGAAGTTTCAGACACGGTACCTAACTAAGGCGTATTCATATCGAGTCCAATCAAGTAAATTAATCCGATGGAGGAATATTTTACTTCAAAAGGTCAGAAAGGTAAAGAAAAAAGAAGAGAAATTGGATATCTGAAAAAAATAAATTACATAATTCTTTCACATAAAAATTGATTTTATAATGAATGAAGAATTGGTTCTTGGTATTGATTTTATACATAATGTTTGTGGTATATATTTTAGGATATACCTAAACTTCCATGGAACAAAAACACCCATATTGGACTTGACCAACTGCAGGGGAAGATGTCTCTAAAATCTTTACAGTTACAGTACCTGAATGTTCTCATTGAGGTAACTCTATACTGCTAAGCTGTGCAAGCTCAGAACAGCTTTTTAAAGCCCTACTGTTTAAGGCTTGATAGAGTAGGCATTGGTAAGGTGCAAGTTCCATCCATCTATCTGTCTCCTGTAAACTTTTTTTTCTAATCTTCACAAAATATTTGTATAAACAGATATTGTATTTTAGTTCTTTGAATTTGTTGCCTTGGTTACTAATAATGGAGATTTGGAGTCATCTTTTAAATCATTTTGAAATTATTTCATAATTCTAATTCTACTGCAGTCTGTCCTTGATATCGTAAAACTTGGAACAAAGAAGATTACTGAAAGATATACATGTATAATTCTCTTCTGCTGTGTAATAAAAAGCAGCTCTGTCATTTTTCCTAATTTTTTGTTTTTATTTGTAGTCAGTGAAATTATCGGAGAAAGTCCTTGTATCAGTGGCAAACTTATCCAGGAAGTCGGAAGTTGGAAAGCAGTTAATGTCATTGGCTAATATGGTAGACTTTATCATCTCAAGAATGTCTGAGGTAATAATATCACATTGAAAATCTTATATCTATCTTACTGATTCTCAAGGAATCCATATTACACTGACCCTAAAAAGAAAAAAAATAATGTGAAAAAAAAAAATAAATAAAATAAACCCCACACTTAATTTGCAGTTTAATATACCATTTACAAATGGACATTATAATGCCATGTACTCTTCAGCCTCATTGTGTTTTTCTATGCATATCATCCAGACTATTGAAACATCTGGAATACTGAAACATACCTATCATAATTGGAAAAAAAATTAACTGAAATCATGTTCCCCAAAATATTTACATCTGTAAGGTGAAGCATCATGATTATTGGTGTTCAGATTAACCAGGCCCCACTGTACATACATATACAATGTCTTCATTGTTTAGTAATCACTAAACATCTGTTTGCTTTTTTGCAGTTATTACATGATCTCCATGATGCCAAGGTGTGTAGCAGAATTGAAAGACTCAACACTATTCTTTCAGAAAATATCAAGAAAATGGTTCTTTTGTCTTTGTTTATGCAACAAACACGTTTAAAGCAAAGAACGCTTAATATAAGCTTAAATATTAGATATTCTGTTGGATATGACTAAACTGCTATATGATGAAAATATAATGTTTGTTATTTTGATATCATGTTTGTGTTGAATCTGCAGTTTTTAATATTTATATATGTCCTTGTATAGAACAAGACCTTGTTATATTTTTATTTTAATGTTCAAAAGATTCAGTCATTGTATGAGTTAATTATTTTTTATTTATATTTGAATTTCCTTTTTACCTCACCTGAGGCAAAGGCTCAAGTGAATATATCTGATTAAAGTTTCTCTGTTATTTATTGGTCTGACTGTTAACTTTTCACATTTTCAATCTCCTTCGTCAAATTTCAACCAAACTTGGCATAAAGCATCCCTGGATGATTTTGGCCCAAGTTGATTAAGTTCGTTCATGAAGGACCACACTCCTTTTCAAGGGGACATATTTAAGAAATTGTGAACAGTTGGGAACATTTAAAAAATCGATCCGGTCTGAATAAACATTAAAAGCATCCTTATGTAGTGCAGATGAAAAGATAACTGGGGAGAGTCAAAGTTTTGTAATAAATTATGTAGTGAAAAATTCTCAAAAACATAGGCCCATATTTGATCATGTTAATATGCAAGCATGAGCAGGTTCAAATATACACATATTTAAAGCATTAGCCAAGGTCTAAAACGGGAAAAATAATGTTTAAAATAAATTGTATTATGAAATGAAATCTTTACAATTTTCGTTGCAAGATGAGGAACATTAGTGCCGTTTTGTGTATGAAATATAAATTATTTTTTCCCCTACATGTGAGATGATTTTTAAGACAAATATACAACCTTTTGTATAAAGGGGAAATAAATAGTCGAAACCATGCCTCAATTAACTGTAAATCATATTTGATAAAATTATATATAGACTTAAGATGATGTACAAAATGAGGGTTTTCAGTAACTCGGGTAAGCATTGTGCTCAGTTGTCCCAATTTTTAATGTTTTATTTTGAACTAGACTGTGATACTATTTATTTATACTTGCTGTTACTATGTGCAGGAATGTGATATGGCAATAATGTGATAATGATTATAATTTCAGTTTGCTTTGCTCTAAAGAAAGAAATATTTTTATAAGGCTTTTCTTAATTTTTTTTTTTAACTAATATGTTTCTTTGAAAATTGATCATGAATTTTGTACTAAAGAAGAAGAGTTAGTTATATATTAAAAAAAATAAATGTTGTTCTTATATTTTTAGAATACACATTGTCATTTATATTAACTAGACAGAGTCTACATGAAAAGCTAGATATGCTATGATTGTGTACTTTTTGGACTCTGATATGCAAAGGGCACACTATTACTAATCAAAACCAAATTAAAAAAAAAAAAACAAGCATGAACCCTCATGATTATTCCAAAAATTTGATATTGATTTATTCTTGTTCAAATGCATAAATAACGACGAAATTTTCAACACATTTCATTTAATAAGACTTTCATTTGATTAAGTCTTTCATAAAAGTACCAATATTTGTATGATCACACTTTACCAGGTCATTACTATATTCTTATTAAACTTTCAGTAATGAAAAAACATTTAAACATTGAAATTGGTAGACTAAAAAAAATGCTCAACATTTATTACTAAAATGCACAAACAGAATCCAAAAATATTCAACTTTATTTAGAATTATGATTTTTGTAACATTCCAGAAAACTTGAGCATGAGCTTTTACAATGAAAATTTATATAACTCCTTATTATGACTTTAAAACCTTTGGATTTTAAGTTTAAGGTTAGAGGCAGAAGTTAAGAAAATCACTATTGGATAAAAAAGTTTGCAGATAATAATCCAAATTCTCTTTGAGCTGTATATTAAACTTCATATGACTGTATTGATTTTGAAGTCAAAAGGTCGAAGACAATTAATTTATAGTCTGAAATAGATATCTTTCTAGATGATAACTTAATTTGTTGATTTTATGTGTACTATTGCTCTCTGCCATTGGCTTTGGGCAATGAATCACATTGAGCTGTTCCCAACACCTTAGGACTAGAAGATGTAAGGACCATCCACACCTACAAAAATGAGAGTTAAGAAGAAATCTAGGTTGATCTCTGAAGTGAATAAATACTTCGAATTTGTAGCAAGCCATTTAATTATCTTATTTATGTAGTAAAACCTGTATATGGTGTTTATGTATCCCAACTAATTTGATACGCAAGATCATGCTCTGAGTGCGATCAAGTTTTAAACCGAGGCAAGCTACAGACAAATAAGTTGATGAAACAAGCTAGGATTTTAACAACCACCTTTAAAGTAAACTTTTGACAAATTCTACGATCTATAATAACCTTATTTGTAAATACAACCCATCGTTAGGTCATATCTTAAGTGACATGTTCCAAACCAATTCTTACACCATTGCTTTTATACTTAATTCAACTACGGAGTACTCCGTATACCTATCAATAAATAGGGCTCACGGCGGGTGTGACCTGTCAATAGGCGATGCTTAATTACTCCTTCCAGACAGCTGATCCCATATCTGATGTTTCCAGTTGTGTGTGTTATGCCCTATTCAAGATTCGTTTTGTTAACTGGATGTATGTAATTGATTATGGATCGTTATCTTCACCTTTTACATTAACACAGCAGGTTACCTAGGAATGATCTCAACAATCAAAAATTCATTCTATGCTCTGTTCACGGATTTGTTTGTTTGTAGAGTTTTTGGAAATCGATCACTATTCGTTACCTTCATCTTTTCATTAATCGAATGGTTGTGTTGAATATATTGCAATCTAGCCATACCGATGTCAGTAATTTCTTACTCAATGTGTATATACATGTATCATATTTACAGTATATTTTGGATACTTACGCTCAAAATAACATGACAAAGATCGATAAGTTACACATAGGCTAAGACATGTAATAAGATAAAAAATAATAATAACGTGATTTCATTAAAAATTCTTTGTAATACAAGTATTTGAAATGCTAGTTATGCTAGTAGACAGAATCTTGGATAAATCATTTGAGAATCAATTGTTGTACAAGTTACAATATCACTTCCATATCCCTTATATTACAACATTAATTTCAATCGAGAGAAATTAAATAAAGTATAGTTTTCAATATTATATAATTATGGGCTATCTTGGTGATGAATATGGTTTGATATTGACCAGAAAAATATCAATATTGAACTAGCCCTACCATTAGCATTAATAGATTCAACACAGTCCTGAACGAAGTAACACAACTGAGTGCTTGAATGAAAGATTTGATAAGAATTGTTTTAATGTTCAATAGGTCACCTGAGTCACTCAGTAGACCTATTACAATCTGTTTTTGTCTGTCGTCGTGAGAGTGTGCGTCGTCCGTTAATATCAACATTTTCAGCTCTTTGTCTGGAACCGCTGAACCAATTTCAACAAATTTTGGCATACAACATATACGACTGAAGGGGAACAAAATTTGTGAATTTCATGGTCTCGGTCCCCCTCCCCCGGGACTTGAGGGATGGGGGCTAAAAGCATGAAAATTAATACAATCTTGAAAAATCTTCTTTACTCCTGGACATCAAGCAATTGAACTGTCGATATGGTTGTAATAAGTATTGAGCACTCTACCAAAATTGTTAAATTCATGACCTCAGGGTCAGGGGTTCTGGAGTTAGGGAGGGGCTCTAATGATCTTGTAATGAAAATGCATAAATTCTTCAAGAACTTCTTCTAGACCCCTGTATATTTAGCAGATAAACTAGGTACATGATTATGATGAGCAAGGGGGCCTCTTCGAAATTTTTTTGGCCCAGAGTCAGGGGTTGGGATGAGAACTCTGATTTAGTTATAAAGTGAAATTGTCTTATTTCTTTGAAAAATCTTTTTCTCTGCTCCTTGGTATTAAGGGAAAAAAATAAGTGCATGGCTATGACGAGCAAGGGTGCCTCTTCCCAAAATGTGAATTTAATGGCCCTAGGGGCAGGGATTCTGATGTTACGGCGGGACTCTATTTATTATAGAGTGTAAAAGTATTTTTACTTTGAAAATCTTCCTCTCTGCCTTTGGGTATTAAGCAGATAAACTAACAGCATGGTTATAATGAGGAAGGGTTCCACTCCTTCAATAAGAGAATTATACGAGAATTTTATAATATATATGCGAAAAATTACTTTCATTGTATTTAATAGTCACTACGTAGAATTGTAAATAATAACAATAAGGGAAAAGGGCATGAAGCATAGCAATCCAAAATTCATTTCAAAATTGAAAACAAATTGTGCTCTGCTTCTGGCCAAATAGACTTGAGCAATACACGTACATGTGCATGTATTTGTCTTTTGAAAGTATTGGAGAAACCTAATTAAATTTCAGGTGAACACCCTTCCTGGCATAAGCATAGGTTGATATCTCTTTGCAAATGCATTCAAGGAGTAGGGTTGCAGCGACTCTATTCAAGATGTCAAAGCTTGTGAATGCCTCCGGTCCGGGTCAACCTTTCGATTTTTTTCTACATGAATGCTTCAGGCTGTTTCCAAAGTGATTATTTAACATATATCATGTGTTTATTTTCACTTTTTAATATGTCATATTAAAATTAAATCTAATTATCTCAAGGTGGATCAGTTTTAACTGAAAATAGATGTAGGCTCTTGAGATGTTGAAATAACAAATAACGAGTACTTTATTTTTGGAAGATTTTTAAAAATGATTTAAACGCGTTATAATAATTTATATTACCTATATCTAGTGCATATAAATTGTGTTTCAAGTTTCAAATGGCTGTCAGTATTTTATAACGGAAAATTGTTGATATTGTTTCTCGTGTAAAAGTACACCAATTCTGCGTGATTCACGCGACCTTCACATCCTGGTTTAGGAACATGGCAATTCAATACAGCATCGTACGTGCATAAAGAGGTATGTTAAAAGAAAAAGATGCCCAATGTGTCAATGCTATCCAATCTTTATGGTCTCTTAACAACTAACATGTACCAGAACATTAATTACCGATATAAGTAGTATTTTTTGGACAAAAACATAGCAATTACTCTATATTCATGATTCGCAGCATTATGGCACAACCTTTAATCATATAATAAGTGAAAAAATACCAT